TTCAGTCCTGTGACTTACTGTATCTATATACATGTAGAGGGAAATAACAGGCCTGTAGATTAAGCTATTTACAATGTCCAGTGTTTGTGTGTGTTTGCGTGTGTGTGTGCTTGTGCATGACTATTGCTCATAAGCCTGGATGACTGTCTGTGTGCATTTTTTCTCTCCTACTCTATTCCTCCACTCTTCCACGCTGTCCCCGGTGGGAGTGCATGCATGGCAGCAGACTGCCTCCACAGTGCAGGCGTCCCATTGGACAACTCCCTCCTGACTCCCCCTTCATCTCCCTCTCTGTGGGATGAAATGGAGACGTCAGTGCAGCAGAGAAAGTGGAGCTGCTGTGCCGAGGCTTCAGTTACCTGGCAGCACATCTTAATTCTCAGCAGTCAGAAGTGAAGTGGTGAAGTGTGCACAGAGGGAGAGCAGAGCTTACTTTGTGGAACCTGGACAGAACAAACAAAGAGAGTAAGTTAACAATTACACTTGCAGTTCCTTTGAGCTGTGACAAGATAATAAACCTGGATTCGGATCAGAGAAAAGCAGGACGGTGTTTTGAAATGCGTCACAGAATTATATAGATATAGATATCTCTCTCTATATATGGATATATATACTTATATAAAACATTTTTTTTTTTTTTTTTTAAATGTGCTTATCTCATGACAAACTATATCAAGCAGCCTATAACATGCTGCCCTCACTACAGCCCCTCTTCCTTTCTTGTTTTGTTTGTGTAGCATTGTCAGTTGTACAGTCACCCCTCCTCTCTCCCTCTGTCCTCTGCATCCTCTCTCTCTCTCTGCTATTGCAGATGCTGGATAAATAAGCATGCAGTTTGCTGCCAGTGTGTGAAATGGTTCTTATCTGTCTCTGCCATTAGAGAGTGGGTTCTATTATAAAGCTTTACATTATTCAGTGAGCCTGAGAGACTGATCATTATGGATTTCAGCCCTTTTCCACACAGCCCCTGGAGTCCAGCTTGGCCTGCTGGCTGATGCGTGTGTGCAGACCTGACCTAGTGCTCTGAACACTCAGAGTTGGAGGGTCAGCTCGAGACCGTGCGTATTCCCAGGCAAACATGAAAGAAGAACACATCAAAATTTGGCTGCAAAATATCAAGTCCGACCAGCATACTTTGCTTTCAGAAGGACAGAAAGGGTTTGTAAAAAATAAAGTCGACCTCAACGACATGCATGCAAAACTGCCAGTTTCCAAAGTTGCTGGCAAAAAAATTTGATTAGTTCAACTCTGGAAAGTAAGAGCTGATTGACATCCAATGCAATTTTTCTCAGTCTTACAGCAGAATAAGTGGCAGGAAATGGTGGGAATGAGAGAAAACATGGCTGAACATATGGTGCTGCAGCACTTTTTATGCATGGGACAGGAGATGCATATTGAATAGAGATGTGTGGCAGGCAGCACATTCCTTCCTGTAACCTGACTGTATCAGAGGTGGGCTGTCTCCCAGTGGGAGCTCAACGCTCGCCTTGATCATTAACATTAAATTCTGCACATCAAAAGCATTGAAAACTACTCTATTTGTTACCATTTGGGTGAACAAATAATGCGCTGCTGCTGGTCTGTTGAAAATGAATAAGGCATTACTTGTTGATCAGTTCAGATGAGCGCTCATGGCAAGTATTGCTTGATGTTTAATATGCATGTGCTGAGATAAGGAGAATCTGTCCCATGCCTGTCCTGGGCCGCAGCAATTCGACTCTGCCATTAACCATTTGTTACATCCGCTGTTTCTCGCCTTCAGCTTGGCACCTTACTGATTACACCACGCTGGATCGATAGCCTAATTAAACAAATTAAAGCGGACTGCTGGGTCAATTTTCATCGCTTCCTAGCCAGCGGCTGCCTCCATGTCATGAGCACGTCAAAAAAAAAAAAAAAAAAAAAACGCTGGAAATGCAATAGAACAAAACTAAAAGCTGGGTAAAAAATGTTTGAAGTGCACATTTGTTTCCTGTTTGATGGCACAGTTTTACACAGCTCTACCGCGCTGATGCGTCAGTGAGGGAGAAGTCATTTGTCTCGGAGCGGGCGGTAATTCTTCACTTTTATAGAAAGACTCCATCCTGGGACATAGCATGCAGAGCCTGATGACTGCGAATATAACCTACTCTTACTGGCAGAGGTGGAAAGAGACAATGTACTGGACAGATTTCAAATGAAGGACTTCCTAATTTTAACACTGACATACATACAGTGTAACCCATTTACTATTTGTAAAAAGAAAAATGACTGCAAGACAGTTTTCAATGGAGAATTTCTATATGGTTTTATGTAATTGGGTAAAGAATTTGGATACTTTAACATTTTCAATGTAGACTTCTGCTGTTATATAGCCCATAGCCTTGTCGGAAATTTCTCACCTGTACCAAGTTTGACTCCATGTCTTTTTTTTATTCTAAAGCAGGTCCAGGTTCTATACTGTGAAAGTATCAACGTGCTCAGTCCACAGAGAAATACACAGTCTGTATTAAACTGAGCCTTAAAAATGAACTGTCAGGACCTCCCTAACTTTGTGATGTCACAACTATACAGTCACTGCCCTCACCTATGTCCTCAGCATGGTCCATCTGGACCCACCATCCAACCTTGCAGGATTTGGTTTCTCTGAGTGTTTACATAAAATCTGCTATATTTTTATCTGATCTCTCAGAAAACAATCAGCCAATCAGTTTTGGCCGACAAACCTGTTTTTACTAGAGCTCCAGAGAGAAGCCTGTGAAACTACATTGAGATGGTTTTTGGTTCTTTAAAACAAACAAATATATCTTCCTATGGATATCAATACTTACTTTAAAAGTCATCAATTTCTATTCAGGACTTCTGGAAGGTTAGATGACTATTGAGAAAAGGGTGATGACTCACATCGTTTCATTTTAACAGTTCAGAGGTTTGAGGAAGCAAAACAACCAAGTATTTCACAAAAAGAACAAAGATTAATGAAAAACTGTGGGGGGGGGGCACTTGTTTTGCAGACATGAGTTTATTTTCTTATTATTATTCTTGTGCTCTGCTTAAGGGGAAAACTTTGGTCCCAGATGCACCGTGAGATGTGTTATTTTAGAAATGATTGCCTTTTAATATGTAGCACGTTCTTGTCTCCTCCTTACCCCTCTGTAATGCTAAACATGTAGGCCCATCCGAGGTACAGGTGAAGTCAGGTTAGGTCAAGCTGTTCCCTCGCAGTTGTGTGTCCTTCCACGTCACCGCCATCACCGATCATTTGTTATCTCAACATGGTCTATGTCAGGGTTGGAGCTCTTGCTGTGTATCCTATGTATTCATGCCAGAGCCCCGGGGGCAGTTACGTAACAGGCTGTTTAATTATTTGGAAACATCTCACTTTCCTTTCAGCGCCTCCGTCTTGTAGTGGTGGGCTTCAACGTAGGAGCCCACCGCATCCCTGTCAGGCTGTGTGGACTGCGGTGGAGACTTGTTGTGCTTCCCCAGTCTCTGCTCCTCTTCACCGCTGCACTCGCAAGTGTCGAAGACAAGTGTGTTACATTCAAACACCTCTGAGTTCAGCGGAAAATACGCTTCTCTCTTGTAGAATAGGTTACATACAACAAGACAAATGCGGTCTTGGGAGACACGAATGGTCTATTGTACTGTTACTTCATTGATGAGCAAACATTGTAGCCCACTGTCAACCACATTCTTCAGCACGACTTCACGGTGCGAGAGCGCGCACCACAGAGAGAGAGAGAGAGAGAGAGAGAGAGAGAGATAGAGAGAGAGAGAGATAGAGAGAGAGAATGAGAGGTGGTGGTGGAGGTGGAGGGGACTCCAACCGTGGGACAGACTCCTCTGAAGAATGGGGAGCGGCTTTCATTTAAGGTGGACCAATATCATCAACACACCATGCTCAAAATCCCTGCTACGGGCATGGGAGGCTTTTAAATAAGCCCAGTCTGTCATATAAAGTCCAGTGTTGGAAGGAAACTGAGCACATTCACTCCAGGTCTGTAGCCCATAGGCCACTTACAGTGACCCTTTACGATGTCTGCTGGAGAAAAGTGTGACAACATGTGGCAGTTATGGGATGAGGGTGAATGTAGCACAGTAGACTCAGTAGTTAGTTACAGAACAGTATCTACCCAGAGTTTGTTAATGTTAATAATATACATAAGCCACCATAGGCTTCTGGTCATACCAGACCACATGAGGCCATAGTGCAGAAACCCTGAGTGCACTTACTTGAGAAATAGGCCTATGTTTTATTTCTTATGAATTTATCTTTTAATTTTAAGAGGAAAATGTTTACAGCCTTTCTTTAATCTTGAGGTTGCCTGCTGCTACATTTCATATGGAAATAGGCCTATTGTAATTTTTACTCCACTATATGTGACAACTACAGGCTATGTACTTATTTATTTTTTTATTTAGCATGTTTTGCAAAATTATTTTTCAAAAAAGAATGATCAGCTTTTAAAAAATTATACATCTTTCAGTCTTTTAAGTTTTAGACTAAATATCTATGTAAATCAACTGCTTTCAAAACCTTTGTCAAAATCAACTAGGCTACTGTAATTATAGTGCTGAAAACCTGACTCAGTCCGTCTTGTCTCAGTAGTTTCAGTTTTAAACAGTTTTTGAAACACATTGACTTAATATATTTATTAATATATTGAGTAACTACTTTTTGCTGATAATCGGAGCTTTTACTTCAGCGTGATGATGAATAAAGTATTTTTACATTGATGCCTTTGAGGTAAAGGATCCGATTCCCGCTCCAACCACTAATTGATTCATATAAAAGACATAAAGAAGTCATATGACTGTGAGGACACGTCGATATCTACTTCTAATGCAGGACAAGTCTAATAGTCCACTTTCCTTTAACTGAAGTGTACACGCGCTCTCTGTTACAGTAGAAGATGCGCGAGTACGACCTTAAATAAGGGGCAGGACTCTGTAGGTATAGCAGAACATGCTGCCTCCCCTCACTGATGCAGAGGATCTGCGCTGCGTTATGTCCGCTATATAAACTGCACACAGCGGCCAGAGCTCACAGCTTCAGCGGACATCACCGTGGTGCTGAAATCTCAGAGACGTCGCTCATTCTCTCTCTCTCTCTCACACACACACACACACTCGCTGCGACTGGAACCATGGACAGATTCTCGTGGAAACTTTTTGTACTTTCTTGCCTGGTTGTTATGGACAGCTCCGCGCAAGACTTCGGACAGACGCAGTTTATTTGCACGTCGGTGCCCAAGGATATGGACCTGTGCACGGCTACGATGCAGAACAGCGGACCGGCGGAGGACCTGAAGACCACGGTCATGCAGCTGCGGGAGACGGTTCTGCAGCAAAAGGAGACCATTATGAACCAAAAGGAGACAATCAGGGAGCTAACGTCCAAGTTGAGCCGCTGCGAGAGCCAGAGCCTCCCCGCGGCGGCGGGACCCGGCGGCAGGCGGCCAGGGTCGAAGAACACGATGGGGGATGTATCCCGGGGCACCACGGACACTCTGGCCCAGCTGGGACAGACTTTACAGACGCTCAAACAGAGACTGGAGAATCTAGAGGTAGGCAAGCAGAGTGCAGCGCTGACCAGGTGAAAAGTTAATTAGACTCAGGGATCTGGTTGTTAATTAGAATGAGGGTCAGACCCCTGGTAAAGTGCTGCAGTATTGTTCTGGCTCTGTGCAGTCTCTGCCTGGAGCCACACGCGTTTTAGTAGGCTACAGTCAGAGACAAGCACCATGTGAAGTAAGTGAGAGTGCCGTTTGAATAATGTGGCGCAGAGCTTAAAATCACACTGTAAGTGTGTAAGTCCACTTTGGACTGGGCTACATGATTCAAATGGAGTAGAGGGAACATGTGTCAAGGAGTTTAGCGCCAGAGAAAGTCTTCTATGTCCTCCCTTAACCCAGTGTCTGTCTCCCTCTGTCCGATGCAGCAATACAGCCGAGGGAACAACACCGTGCAGGCGAACAGCCTGAAAGATCTGCTGCAAAACAAGATAGATGACATGGAGAAGCAGGTTCTCTCCCGGGTCAACACGTTAGAAGAGACCAAACCGGGCTCCAGGAACGACAGCGAGCAGCGGAACAGAGTGGAGTCCACGCTCACCTCTCTGCACCACCGGATCACAGACCTGGAGAAAGGTGCGTTTGGATTTCAGAGCGCTCAGGACTCAAAACAGAGCAGCTCAGTGGTGCTTTGAGTGTGGCCCAACAACAAGACACGGGTTAATTTATTTGATTTAAAAGTCATGGGCGCCTCAGCCTGTAGAAAACACAGAAATCCTTATATTACAGCACTCGTGGAACCACTCACAATGCCGCAGCCGTCACGTTGCGCACAGATAGTGTGAGCGAAGAGAGGAGAGCTGCATTGCTTTGCATAACTCAAGACCTGTTTGCACTTTAGCTTTGCTGAGTTTATGTTTTTCAAAGCCAAAAAAAAAAAAAAACAGGCTGTCAAACTTGCAAATGAGCCTGTAAGCAAAGGGGCATCATTGTTGTTTTTTCTGCAGAGGTCAGAGGCAGGGAAAGTTTGCAGGGTGCGCCTCGCACTGGCGCGTTTTTGAGCAGACATCAACAGCTTGTTCAGCTTTTCAACACGTGCAAATGCGCGTGCGTATGATTTATGGGAGAGAGAGAGAGAGAGAGAGAGAGAGAGAGAGAGAAAATGAAAAAAAGAGAGAGATAGGGAGAAGACAGCAGGCCTCCTACACACAGCCAACAGACAGAAGATGATTGTAAAAACAGTGTTTCATACATTATCAGATTGGATAGTGGTAATTTAAACGGCTGGGAAAAGACAACCTGACTCTAATCATAATAAATCATTAGTTCACGAATGTAAAAATATATGTTGGTTTATGAAGGTTTAGCCTCTGGGTAATGCCTAAATAATACATATAAACAAAATGATGAAAAATCCTCACTATGTATTAAAATTGATTCTGACAGTTGAAACATTAATATCATTTACAGGCAAAGACACCAGGCCCGCAGATAAGTTCCAGCTCACCTTCCCCCTGAGGACCAACTACATGTACGCCAAAGCCAAGAGGAGCCTCCCTGAGATGTACTCCTTCAGTGTGTGTCTGTGGATCAAGTCCAACGCCTCGCCTGGGGTGGGGACACCCTTCTCATACGCTGTGCCGGGTCAGGCCAACGAGCTGGTCTTGATCGAGTGGGGGAACAATCCCATGGAGATTCTGATTAATGATAAGGTAATGGTAAACTTATGATGATGAAAACTCATTTCACACATTGTTTGTAATATTTGCAGTGCATCATTGTGGCATTTCTGCATTCATATGTAACATGTTAACACGTGGGACGACTTGCAGTGGGTACAACAGAAGGGAAAAGTTAGAATACTTTGTGCTTGGGTGAGTCAGAGGAACCTGACAGCTCCTCTGTGCCAGAACTGGAAATAGAATAAAAATAAGTGCTAAGGTGAACAACAGAAAGCTTTATATATATATATAGAGAGAGAGAGAGAGAGGAAGAGATATGTGATAGGGGAAGTGATTCAGCAGGAAGAGGAGAGGGTGTGGAAGCGATGAGTTTTCAGGTGGGGAGTGACTCTGCTACTAAAGTGTGAAACAGAGACTGGAGGGAAAGACTTATGATGAAACGTCTCTGCTGCAGGTTGCAAAGCTGCCGTTTCTCATCAACGATGGAAAATGGCATCACCTCTGCATCACATGGACCACCCGTGACGGTATGTGGGAGGCCTTCCAGGACGGAGTGTTGCGGGGCAGTGGAGAAAACCTGGCACCGTACCATCCCATTAAACCAGAGGGAGTGCTGGTCCTGGGACAAGAGCAGGTGGATATACATTTTTAAATAACTGCTGCTTCCACTGCACTTTAATCCCCCACATAGCTGCAGATAATCCTGGCCAATTATGACTTTCATTCTGGACAAAGATTAAAGGTGGACATATTAATGAAACGAGAGTGTGGAGACACTGGAGAGGTGCCCAATTAAGGATCTCCAGTCTAATTAGTGTTTAATTTATCATCCCATCATAGGAAGAAAAATGATACTGCTGCACCAGTTGGGCCTGAATTTGGACAGGGAAACAGAATTTGAGACTTTTTTTTCTCTGTTGAAAGAGCTATATACATAAATCCAACATGAAGAGACCCTTATAATCCCAACCATCTGGCCAAATGACACTACTATGTATAAATCATGTCATTCATGCTTACAGGAAGTAAATGATTTTCACACTGGAGCTAAATAAAGATATCCCATTTGCCTCTAAGTCACATTTTTGCATTTTTTTTAACTAAAGACAGATAACTAAAAGGAAATTAAATTCAGGATTAAATCGTAATCACTTGTGATCTTGTGCTCAAAAGCACAACAATATAAGGATTCCTCACAAAACAAAAAGTGTCCACCCCCCTCTTCCTCCAGATAAATAGGCCCGTGAACACCTCAGTTCAATTTTATTGCGACACTGATGTGGTTAAACACTTGTCTGTCTCGTTCCACAGGACACATTGGGAGGAGGCTTTGATGCGACACAAGCCTTCGTAGGAGAGCTAGCAAACTTAAATATCTGGAGTAGGAAACTTTCTACCACCGAGATCTACAACTTGGCGACCTGCAACAGCAAAGCACCAGCTGGCAACGTCTTCTCCTGGACGGAGAGCAACATTGAAGTATTTGGCGGAGCGACCAAATGGACCTTCGAGCCTTGCCGTTCGCTCAACTGAACTGCATTTCATCGATCAAGAAAAAGGCCTCTCTGTATTTCTGAGCTTTTGTCGTTCTTGTCTTCATTTGACGTTTGTTAGAGACTATTTGAGTTATTGGTAAGCTTAAATCTGGGATTTCTATCATTCTTAGGTATTTATGTGCAAAACAACAACTTTTCATCTTGAGGAAAAAAAAAAAAAATCGAATTCGTCTTGGGAACCTCAGTGAGAAAGTATTGGTATCTGTTGCTCCTTTTTTTTCCCCCTCCCCCCCCTCCCTCAGACGTTCCGTTAAAAGCACACCTAAGCTTTTCGTTTGGCTTATTTCGTCTTGGACTGGCAGCTGGCAATCTGCGCCTTATGTTTGAACAATTCAATATCCAAGTGAGGAATTACATAACCGCTCCCACCCCCTTCCCTCAGGAGAGTGGGAGATTGTGCTGTCCGTCCAATTCTTGTCAGTGTTTGGCGCTGTGAAGTGATGTCTGACGCGGTACAGCTCCCTGCGAAGCCCAAATTCCCACCCCCATCCCACCCAGCCCCACCCTCCCCCCATCCTCCTCCTCCTCCTCCTCCTTCACTCTGCCCCCACCCCTCCGGAACTTGCACTGTGACTGATGAAGAGAACGCCAGGAGAGGAGGGTACGTTGAAGGACACTGCAAAGTCAGACTGTGGTACAAGTCAATTTGTTCTCGTTGTTCGCTTCAAGTGTTTCTGTAAGAATGTCGTTAACTTGCCAACATTGCTACAAAGCCTGGGTGCCTTGGGCTGGTACAAATATTCAGCACATTCAGTATGTTTTCAGTTGCAAATTCAGTGTTTATTGGTTTCTGTTTTTGTTTTGTTTTTTCTGAGCTGGTTTGAGTTTCTTGTTCCTCTGGTAAATGTAATTTAATTACAGTTTGTTATCTGACATAATGTGTTTTGGCAGGTGTTTGTACTACTCTGTATTAGGAATGTTACAGTATCTGTATAGTAACAGCATGAATGACAGAGTGCTGTGAAAGCATTGTCGAAAATCTGCTTTACTATCTTCTCTGGGTCTGGGTTTTTTACTGTATTGTTATATGCTCCAAGCATGGCAAAACTGAGAGATGAAGAATTTAATTTTTGTAATAAAATTGTGATACTTAATGTCACAGTGCTTTCCTGGCTTTGGTTATGTGCATCGAGAGGTGTGATTGTAACGGAGGGAAAGGAGTGTGAAGGGAGGCGACAGTCGGTGCAGGAGAGACAATCTCTGATCAAACATAACATGTCCACCATGTCAAACAGTAAGAGGGGGAGCTAATTGCGAGATAAGTGAAACATCCAAGGGCAGTGAGGGTCACACAGACAGGGCTTCAGAAAAGAAATGAGACCGTGTGAGTGCCTGTGTGTTTCTTTTTAAGCTGACTGCGGAAGATAGCCCACTCGCTGCTTTGTTGTTCCCGCTGTGAGATGCGGTGCCTGCGCCGAAGCCAGCGAGGCTCTCCGAGGAGAAAAGTGCCTCGTCATATCAGCCTATCAGTGGCTCGGTTCAAGTGAGAGCAGCCTAAAGTAAAAACTACAACACTTAAGGCCGGACTTTAATTATCAGTTCAGTCGGATGACCTGTTGCCGTAGCGCCACACGTCTCAATCGAAGGGATGGATCTGGTGACAGCTCCTGCATTTAAATTAGACACTTAATCAGTTACTCATGCGTCAAGTGGTGAAAGCAATACATCAGAATAACACAATTTGTTTTTTCTCAAACCACCTTGAGATTTTACTATGAGACATTTCAGAGAAGCTCTTCACGGTGGACAGCTGCTATTTTCTATTTTTGTTTTGTTTCATCAAGAAGCTCTAGGTCCTCAAGGTCAAGTTTATCGTGTTATGTCGTGCTGAATCATTTCAGATTCTATACATCACACATTTATCTAGAGTTTTGCCTAAATAAGCTCAATTCCTTGACCTTGAAGTGGACTTTCCTCAGGTTTCCTTACATACAAATGAAAATCTCACCTACATGGTTTAAAGATGAAACTAAAATTTAATTAGAGTTGGCTTTCAACTCGAACACTTCAAACCTTTTCAGTGCTTCAAAGTCAACTGACACTAACACTGCTCAAAGTGCCTGTAACTAAACCTCAAAGTGGACTTTCTTTAGAAGAAATACATCACCTTAACTGACATTTAAAACACTTAAAACACTCAACTGATAATTCAATACTTTAATTTCCAACTTCAGTGTCTACACATCAACTGACAGTTCAACTGCTTACAGAGCAAAGAACATTCTTCAACTCTGGCGCTCAAACTTCAACTGAAATTTTAATTCCTTTGATTGTTTCCAGCTCAGCTGACGTTTCAACTGCTTTCATCTCTCACCTTTTGAGAAACAGTTCAACTGTTTTCATTGTTTCCACTTCAGATGGTACGTCACCTCTCTACAGGGCTGCCGTCTGCAACAAAACCTTTTCAACAGCTTCCAGCTCTTACATTTCAACCAACACTTTCATTGCTTTTCGACTTAAATTTCAACTACTTCCAGCTTCAACTGACACTTCAGTTGATTTAAATTGGACAGTTCAGCTGCTCACTGCTCACATAACAGCTGATACTTTAATTATTTACAGTGCACACACTGACTATCCTGAACCTCACCTGAAATATCAATTACTTTTATTGTTTACGTTTCGGCTGCTTCTTGTTGACTCGATTAACAGTTCAGCTCTTACACTTCAGCAACTGTCAGTTTACATATAAACTAAAAGTAAAGCTGCTTAGAAGACTAACTGAAACTAATATTTCTATATTTTTAGGTTCTCAAACATCAAACGCTTTTCTGTGCAGAAAATTAATCTTTTTCACTCATCACGTTGTGTTTTCTGGAATGAAGTTCTACTCCTCAGGGTGGTTAGCTCATGAGTGAATTCACTGAAATGATATTGGGTTAAGACAAAGTTGTAGGTTTTCACAGGGGTTTCGGTACAACACATTTTTGTCTTAAGTTTGACCTTGAAGTGGATTTTCTTGAGCTGAGAAGCTGCATCACCTTAATCTTCCATGACCCAAAGCAGCCACCAGCCAGGGTCGTGAGCCTGTTGACAAGGCATTATTAGAAGGAACATATTCCTGTTACAGCTTTAAACACACACACACACACACACACACACACACACACACACACACACACACACACACACACACACACACACACACACACACACAAACTAACAAACTAATAAACACACACACACACACACACAGCAGAAAACAATTTATTCTGTCCCTTAGCCACATTGGCAGATGGATCCCAAAACACTCAGGTTTATCAGCCAATTACATTTATAGAAAATACCGGGACAGCTGAAAGATGACTGGGTAGTGGCCAAAGTGGTTGTCTCTGTGGAAAAACTTTTTGTCTGCCCCATCCAAATGGAAATGGAAGCAGTCACTGAAAGATAAGAGTTTTAAACTATTTTGACGAACATTGTTTTGTGTTACCACATAATAAAGAATATCTAGACCAGGAGGTTATTCCATGAATGCTGAGTGAATCCAGCCGCAGGGTTCAGCAGAGGGGGCATGAACCACAGCCAGATAAGCCTGCCTCTAATTTTGAAGCCACGAACAGCACCCATCAATGGGCACACAGTCATAATCACTAGGTCTTCTTACTACACTCAGCTAATACCCTGCCGGCGTAATGCTGCTAAACCCTGACAGAATCCATCTCTTCAGTGCAGTTGCATTATTGCTGCAGACACCTTTGTGCAGAAAGTATATCCAGGGAGAAAATAGATCCAGGCGGCCTAAAACGATGATCGTACACCCTGTATACATAAGAAACATGAACCTCTTACATGAACTCAATCTCTGCTGACATCATTACATGATGAAATGGTTGAGGTGACACCCCCATAAAGCCTTGACATAATCACTAAGGAGGCCACATGACTTAAGGACAATCAGTGCAGAGCAACTTCTGGAGTGTTGTTAGTGATTCTCTGCTCCTGAGGTTCAGCACATTACGTAATGTTTTGCTGGCAAAGCACATCTTCTAGGGCACCTCCTCACCTGGCAATGTAAACAGATGCTGTGATTCGTGTAGGAGATTAGGAGAAGGTGCCCTACTTTACTTTTTAAGTCCTCTTTATATCTTTAGGTAAAGTGCTTTTCAGAAACCTCATATTCAGGGAATATATCATTTTCAGAGAGCCTCCATAATCAAATAACTTCCTGGTGCTTTGGTACCGCTCATTATTGACTGGTGAGACACTTAGCAACAGCCCTGCGTTTCCATATTGTAGAAAGTGAGATTTCCATGTTGTTGTCTTTAATATAAAGCAGGTCTAGGTTCTATATTAATCCTGTGAAAGTATCAACCAGCTCAGTCCACAATGCACACAGTCTGTATTCAGAAACTGAGACTCATTGTCCAACCATGCTGGATGTGGTTCTGAAATCTGCTTCACTTTTATTCGTTATTTTGCTTTTTGATCGATCTCTATGAAGGACTTTCTAAGTGTTTTGTTCAGCCTCACCAACGCCAGTTCTTCTACTGTTCGTTGGATTATTTTTATCTTGCCATTTTCAGTTTCCCATCTTATCTGTCATGTTGTTTTATGAGTTACACTTGAACTGAAAACCAGCTATCATTACAGCCGTGTGTGTGTATTGCAAACTTGCTTACTCACAGTTATGGGATGAGATCCATCGCCTGGCGTCAGAGTGCCCCGGAAAAAGGATAAGCTGCTTGATGGCTTTGTCTCCATAGCTGCTGCCCAGGAAAAGCATATTTTGTTTATGCAGTCTTCCCGATAACCCACCTCCCTGATGTCCTCAACGGACTTGGAATCTGCCCACTGGCACTGTACAGGTCCATCTGGAGGGTGTAGCAGTGGAGGAGAGAGAGGGGCAGCGGGCTGCACCACTCCTGCATTGGTCTTGGACTCTGCAACACCATGGATGGTCACCCCAACGCCAAAAGACGATCGAGGGACTTGCACCAGAACCGGTGTATAACTCCACACCAAGTCCAGCTGGAGAATTTCAGACTGAATTTGACTGTTTGACTAATTTCAGCGCTGACTGTCTGTCGCCATTTGCATTACCAGTGAGTTTACCAAGCTACAGTAGTAGGTGACAATCATTTGCCTGTGGTTGGCCTGGCCATGCGGCACTTATGCTGTGTCTCAGTTCACATTCTTCCATACTCGCACTTGCAAGTAGCTGGATGGTTGAGTCTAAAACGAGGGACCTACAACCTCTTTGCAAACTTGTGAAAACAGCGACCGAGGAAGGAGGACAAGTCGTCAGCGCCGATGGCCGCCTGACTTCCATGTCACACGACACAGGAGGCACACAGGAAAGTAAAATGTTCAGCAATCGCGGCCACATGTTGTAATCGTCATTTCCCGTGAGTGCACAACAGCGGTGTTTGATTAACTCTGCCCTGTTGAAATTCACACACTACGCCAGTGAGTATACTGTGTACACGGTGTACTACATGCGAGTGTACTGACTGAAGTATCCGATTTGAGACACAGCATTAGAAAACAGAAGAAACTCTGAGCCTCGATTGGCCGACCGACACAAAGCACCCTGTTCTTGCTAGAGCTCTGAAGAGAAGTGTGATAGAGATGTAACGCTACACTGAGATGAACTGAAAATGAAAAACTTGAAATAACACACAGGAAGAGTGTAAAATACGGGGCCTTTAAAACAGTGCAGGGGGCTGCGTCGATAGGAGTGTAGGTGTGTTGTTTAATGACCTGGTGAGATGAGGAAATACGATTCAGTGAGTCCAGATGGAGCAACACATTGATGTGTTTAAAGGATTAGTAGTACGGTGGCCCTGACAGCTCAATGCACTGCAACTTAAGAAAACACATGCAAATAGACACAACACAGGCAGATTCAGAAACATCTTCATCAATTTGGCAACACATGCGCTGCAGATACACACAACACAACCAAATGCACGCAATGAGCATGAACAGTAAGAGCCATAATGGACTCATGAAGGTTAACCAGACTGTGTGTGGCCGGGCCGTGGCAAGGCCCGGAGTTAACTGAAAATTTAGGTGTGACTGTCCTTTAATACCCCAGTAAAACCAATTAGTCCACAGATCCCTTAACGATACAGATG